ATTTAAACGACAAAAGCCTAACATCTCCCGCGTCTTCCAGCATTACAGCAACAAAATACCTCCATTTGACCCACAATGATAGGAGAGGGGGCCATGAAGGAGACACCAGACCTTCCTTAAATCCAGGAAAAGAAGAATGCATTTGGAGGAGCCTTTGACAGCCCGTATTCTATCACTGTGATACACCCAGCCTTAAAATGCAGCCTTCAGCGGATGCACTCCCTGAATTTGGACACAGCTGCAGTCATAATGTGATATTTTCTCAGAATGCATTGAAAATCATCAGCAACGTGATGGAAACAGCTTAAACAGCAAAAGTTGGAGGAAAAAACCTTTATTTCACTGCTCAGACAACTAATCTAAAAATCTAAAAACAAATCTAAAAACAAATGTCTATGGTGGCAGCTCTGTTGGGACAGAAACATTTTTATTTGGGCCAAAAGATAAAGATGTTCTTTCATTCTGGTGCTTGGACTTTTTGGTCAATTCAATTCAATTCAAGTTTATTTATATAGCGCCAAATCACGACAAGAGTCGTCTCAAGGCACTTCACATAATAAACATTCCAATACAGGTCAGTTCATTAAGGCAGTCAGAAAAAAGGTTTCCTATATAAGGAAACCAGCAAATTGCATCAAGTCACTGACTAGTGACTAGTTTCAGTGACTTTACAGCAATCCTCATACTAAGCAAGCATGTGGTGACCATGGAGAGAAAAACTCCCTTTTAGCAGGAAGAAACCTCCAGAGGATCCTGGCTCAGTATAAGCAGCCATCCACCATGATTCACTTGTCAGGTTATGTAACCATAGCAACGAGGAGCTTGTTTCCAAGGGGAAGCAGCTATTAGGCATCTCAAAATCACAGTTTAGATCTAGGCTGTGAGCCCAAATCCCTGATGAGTTAAAGAAACCATTACTTCTACTCATCCTACTAGGGAACATCAGATCTCCCACAAATAAGATGGATGAGCTCGATGAGGACCAAGCCAGAATACTGGAATTGCAGAAACAGGTGCTTCACTGAAACATGGCTGCAGGATCATATCTGGGACTGAGGAGGAGGTGGAGTGGGGATGGTTTTAGTCCATGATGTGCTGCCATGGCCTGGATGATGAACTTCTGTCTTCATCCAGATTTTTCTTTAAGTTTTGCTGCAACAAACATCACTTTGAGGACATTTCGTGTCCACAGCTAGAACATGCTCTGATGACCACGGAGGACCGCTGTTAGAGTAAATAAAAAGGCCCTATCAACCGTAGTCTCACCACTCCTTTTGAACCTGTCCTCCTAAAACTTCCAGTACACGTCCGACTCAGCTTGGCTGTAGCAGAGATGGTCTGGAGACTGATCAGAGTGACATGGTGGGGAAACAACAACCTCATCTTAAATGTGAGCAACACACAGGAGATGATCCTGGATTTTAGTAGAAATGGGAAAAGATGTGGAGGAATATAAAAACCTTGGTGTCCACCTGGACAAGCAGACTGGACTGGAGATACAACAGTGATGCTGTAGACAGGAAGGGACATGTAGAGGAAAATCAGTGTTTGGAAATAGATTCCCAGTTTCTTCTGGTGTGGAGAGTCCAGTCATCTGTTTGGGTCCTCGCTTCCATCTTTCTCCTTTTCCTCCTTCTTCTCGTCTGTGGTTATGGTTTTTGTTCCTTAGTTGTGCTTTTTTGTTCAGATTAGAATCTTAGCTCAGCTCCTCGGCCACATTTACTCTGAAAGGACTCTGAGTAGGATGTAGACTTTAGGACATCCTCAGGTTTGAGGACAATGTCAGCTCGAAGGTCCTCAGAGGTCAGAGTCATGATGCTATTTTTCCCTCGTGTGATGTTTAACGATGTTCTCCTGAGACCTGAGAATGCCCTGTAATCTACACCGGATCTGAGAGTATAACCTGGCATTCTCAAAGCGGGGCTCTCAGCCACCAAACATCTCGTTGATCAGGAGCCAGAACAATGAAGGTTCTGAAGCTGTGTGGACAGTGTGCACAACACATGTGTTGGGGGATGGGTTGACTGTGTGGGAAGGGACAGCTGCAAGGACATGGTCCATAAATCCCATCAGATCCCTCCCTGTACTGGTGGTACATGAGCAACCTCTCCTCACTGCAACGTGATCAATGTGTGGTCATCAGAAGAGGGATGGATGGATGGATGGATGGATGGATGGATGGATGGATGGATGGATGGTTGGATGGATGGATGGATGGATGGATGGATGGATGGATGGATGGATGGATGGATGGATGGATGGATGGATGGATGGATGGACGGATGGAGTAGAGAGAATAAAAATCAGGCCTGCGTTAGAAATTGAATGAAGTGATTATTGCATCACTTGTTGCAGCTGAAGCACAGCTGCAGATCTGAACTCAGGTGAATCGTGTTTGGAATGTATTTCTGTTAGAACTCAGTTCAAAAACTAGAAGAGTCAGAACCGGTGCCAGTCTGCACACACACACACACACACACACACACACACACACACACACACACACACACACACACACACACACACACACACACACACATAGACAATCCAGACAACTGAGCTGAGAAGCGGACCGGCACCTCCCCTCATCCCTCCTCCGCTGGTACACAAATGATCAAAGCTCCGGTTGGAGTGAGATTCCTCTCTGCGGCTAACCGGTCACCCCCATCTTTTCTCTCACACACACAAACATTCACGCAGGAACACACACGCACGCACACACACACACACACACACACACACACACACACACACACACACACACACACACACACACACACACACACACACCTGACCCATGTTATCACCTGTTTAAATCAGGACTGAGTCATCTTCTTCTCGTCTACCGTCTTCCCTCCTGTCTCCAGTTCCCTGTACCCCATCCTCTTATCTCCACCCCACCCCGCCCCACTCCTCCACACACACACACACACACACACACACACACACACACACACACACACACACACACACACACACACACACACACACACACACACACACACACACACACTCCCCTGCTCCAATTTAATGTCGGTACCGGCCACCTCTCCACACGTCAAAACTCTAATTCTCCCTTTGCGTCTCTCTGCGGCCTCAAGCTTAAATCAGAAAATAATAGAGGATATCAAATATTTATCTCTGCTCTTCTGCAGCGGGCCCAGGTCAGGGTCGCGGGGTGCTGGAGCCAGACCCGGTAGAACAAGAAGCGATTAAACATCGGAGCAGGTCAGAGGCCTAAGCGGACGCGTGTGCGCACACGCGTTTTTACGCACGCCTGTGGATAAGATCCATTTCTAATTACTATTGACCAAAACTTCTCTTTAGAAAGGAACCTTAGTCATTATTATTATTATTATTATTATTATTATTATTATTATTATTATTATTATTATTATTATTATTATTATTATTATTACAATTGTTGTTGTTTTATCAACCTTTAACTAGAATAATTTACATAATTACAATTGTTTTACTGCTATTATTAATAACGTTACTGTTGTTATTATTGCTGTTGTTTATTATTTGTTTATTCTTATTTTAGCTGTGATCCTGATGCGCACCACTTTGTCCTCTTGTCCCTCGCCTCTCCCGGGTGACTTGAGACCAGCTCCGCGCGACTGGAGGACGTGATAACATAAAACGGTTGAATGAAGAAATTAGTTATTTTCATTGTAGAACAATATTGTATTCTTGGTAATAATCTATCCTGCAGTTTCTTTCTTTCATAAGTCATGCATTTAAAAAGGCTACAAATGTAGTCCTTGTAATATATATTTTGGCCAGTTACTCGTCCAAACACGAGGCCCAAGGGCTGAGGGACAGAGTCACGCTTCATGCAGAAGGAATCCAGGTTCCGGTTCCTTTCAGACCCCGTTTGCCTGGAGATGAGCAAGATCAGTCTCTTCCTCTCATCTAAATGCATTTTTGTAGTTTACAAGCTGCGTTCAGCCTGAGCGTGGGTGGACCGGATCATGGAGCAGGTTTCAGTTACGGTAATCATTTGAATGGCAGTGAGTTTGGTCCCGAAAACGGAGGAGTGTGTGTGTGTGTGTGTGGGGTGGGGGGTGGGGGGGGGGGGGGTACAAATGGAAAAGAAGAGGCTTCTCTCGCATATTGGAGCATATGTCCTGAGAGAGAGAGAGAGAGAGAGAGAGAGAGAGAGAGAGAGAGAGAGAGAGAGAGAGAGAGAGAGAGAGAGAGAGTGGGGGGGGGGGGGGTATCCTGCATAAGAACCCCTTGTGAGAAGGATCTATCGAGTTGCGTCACCAAGCCGATGGGAGGTGGTTTGAACCGAATTGGAGCCAGAAAAATAAACCAAAAATAATATTTATTTATTTATTTATTTATTTATTTACTCCAGATCCTGCTGTCACATGATCAAACATCTGAAACTTCTAACTTTTTGGCCGGAAATGATCCAAACTGCCATGACGGTCTCCGAAGTGGATTAACACCTCCCACCCCGGGCTGGAGAGTCCGGGACGTCGGGCCACGGCTCCCCCTCAGCCTGTTAACTTTCGAGCCTTCCCGTCTCTCACCTCGGTCAGAAACCGAAGACATCACGCAAACCAGAACAGCACTGCGCGCTGCATCCACATGTGGCGCTCTGGGACCCACTTCGTTCGGGTTCCTGATGACTCTAATAATTTATTAGGACGGACCACCGAACCAACCCGCGACTTCTGCGTTATTTTCTTGTGAAAAGTGAGCCCAGAGCCGGGTCCTTCCGTGGACGGGTCCTGGACCAGATCAGGATCCTCCTGTGGACAGGGCTGGTGGACCTCCGTGCTCCTCATGCCGCGCACCTCCATATGACATTTCGGAGGGAAGTTCTTGACAATCGGTGAGTAGAGCGGCACCAGCAGCAGGCTGGCTGGGTTTTGATGGGGCGAAGTGATGGTTTCTCGCCTGGCTCCACGGTGATTGGTCCGGCTGCAACGTGACGTCACGAGGACGGGAATAAGGCTGAGCTTGGAGCTTTAGGAGCAGGACAGTGAACCGGAGACCTTTGCGCATCCCGGCACACGCACGGTACCGGAGACCGGGGGGCATCCCAGCTGACACACGGAGCCGCAGTAGCCCAAACTGAACGGAAGCGGACTGGACCTGCCAAGACCTTTTGGGTTTTATCTTTGATCAGAGGATCCGTGCTGCAGGACTGAATTCTACGCGTGCATGTTGTTGGACCGGTTCTGATCCAGAACACGCCTGGCCCAGCTCGGACTGACCCCAGACCCTTTGATTCTGTGACCTCAGAAGTCCTGGACACCGGAAATTCTCCAGATCTTCAGACCTGAAACTTACCTCAGAATTGTGCTCCGGGCTGGAGGATCGGTCCACCTGCGTGATCGCCATCCTTTTTATACCTTGTGGGTTTTTTTTTTTCGTTTGTTTTTGTTTTTGGACGGAACATTCTGACGCATGCAGACCTGTGGTGAGACCTGATCCACCGGGTTCGTGCGCACCCTAACCCGGAGCTGCTGGCGGAACCGGCGGAGGGAGAAAGCGGATTCTTAGTCAATGGTCGGCCCGCGCCGCTGAAGTGTTAGTGTGCGCGTGAAGCCAACCAAAGCCATGGTCCACTGCGCCGGCTGCGAGAGGCCGATCCTAGACCGGTTCCTACTCAACGTTCTGGACCGAGCCTGGCACGTGAAGTGCGTCCAGTGCTGCGAGTGTAAATGTAACCTAACGGAGAAGTGCTTCTCCCGGGAGGGCCGGCTCTACTGCAAGAACGATTTCTTTAGGTAAGAACGGGAGTCGCTTGTTCTGGTTTCACTGCCGGTTCTATGAGCGGAACCGGGACGGACATGCACCGTGAGCAGGAACGGGAGCTGGAGCTGCAAAATGCATCTTATGATTTAACTTTTTTTTTTTTTCAATTTTGTTCAATGAGAAAAAATATCAACAGCTAAAACATTTAATTAGAACGTAAATCTATTAGTCTGTAAATTTTAATTATAATGTGTTTGTTTTCTAAGTGGAACGTAGACAAATTATTATAGAAATAAACGTTTCTGGTCAGACTGGCTCAGAAACAAACGAAGCACCGGCGGCCGCACACGGATCCGCCATCCGATGAGCTTTGATTTGCAGACTAATTAAAAGCTTCGTTTAGATTCACATGTAAAACAGACACATTAAAGGCGCGTGCGCTCACTGTCGGCCAGGTGAGGTGAGGAAGAGGAGGAAATCACACCTGGGTGTGAGTCAGACCAGCGCCCGGGATCAAACCAGACCGGGGAGCCGATGTTTGTTCAGCCCGGCTGAGGAGGACCTGATAAGTGGATCTGAATAGTAAACAGGTCTGGAAGACCCAGACCCAGACCCTCAATACACAACCCGGGATGGGGGTCTGTCACACACACACACACACACACACACACACACACACACACACACACACACACACACACACACACACAGCCGAAAGATAAACAAACCTGGGAGTAAAAATAATTCAACTGGAAATTAGCTAAAACTGATGGAATAAAATATTATTCAAAAACATTATTATTATTATTATTATTATTATTATTATTATTATTATTATTATTATTATTATTATTATTATTATTAAAGGCTGTCGTTGCTTTTATTTTGATGTGACAAAAGTTAAACTGATATTTTATATAAATACTTTCTTTTCCAGTGTTTTATTTAACAAAATAATCATATGTAATCTATTACATTTTCATATTTTAATAATACATGAAAATAAAAATAAGAAGAAAAAAAAACAACAAAATAAAATATTTGCTGGGTCTGTCTCTAACCGGACCGGACCGAACCTCTTTAATTCTATTGGTGGTTATAAGCTGTGAATATTTGTTCGAACCTGAATTTGATGCGCTGCGGTTCTGGACGTATCAGGGGGATTCTGGTTCAGATAAATGCTCCATAAGCGAGCCGAACCGCCTACCTACAAGGTCAGTCCGTCATGTTGTTTCCCTCTGCAGGCGGTTCGGCACCAAATGCGGTGGATGTTCGCAGGGCATTTCTCCAAACGACCTGGTTCGGAGGGCCCGAAGCAAAGTGTTCCACCTGAACTGTTTCACCTGCATGATGTGCAACAAGCAGCTGTCCACAGGAGAGGAGCTCTACATCATAGACGAGAACAAATTCGTCTGCAAGGAGGACTACCTAAACAACATGAGTGTGAAGGACACTAACCTGCTCTCAGGTAAGTCCAAACCCGGTTCCGTCCACACCCGGTGCGTGTGCGCGCGCAACGTGGTGGACTTCACATTTACACGTTTCATTCTGTTTAGAATCAGGATCTAGACGGATTCCACAAGGGAGACGTTCCGGATGATAGATCGGTGATCAGCTCAGAGCTTTAGTCTAAATAAGAACCAAATTAGAACCGTTCTAAGGTTCTGAGGCAAGCGCGGCTGATCCAGAGTCAGAATATGTATTATTATTATTATTATTATTATTATTATTATTATTATTATTATTATTATTATTATTATTATTATTATTATTATTATTATTCCACCTGCATTGCCACCATAATCATCATCATTCCTCTACTCAAGTTTTTTTAGCACATCTTTTTCCAGAAACTTTAATTTCAGCTGGAGATTAGATCTAAACACACACACGCGCGCGCGCGCACACGCACACACACACAAACCCGTCCCGATCAGCTGTTAGGGGACCTATAGGGTCAGGGCTGGTCCGGTCTGAGTGGACCTTTTGACCCCTGTCCCATCTTGCAGTGACGGCCTGCAGCGATCCAAGCCTATCGCCAGATTCTCAGGACCAGCTGCAGGACGACGTGGTTCTGAAGGACACGGAGATGGCCGCCCTGTCCGACAAGGAGACGGTGAATAACGAGAACGACGACCAGAACCTGGGCGGGAAGCGGCGCGGGCCCCGGACCACCATCAAGGCCAAGCAGCTGGAAACCCTGAAGGCGGCCTTTGCTGCGACCCCCAAACCCACCAGACACATCCGGGAACAGCTGGCCCAGGAGACCGGCCTCAACATGCGGGTGATACAGGTGAGAGGTGTGCTGGTACCGGAAGCCCTGTCCAAATCATCCAGGCCCTAAAGAAGCCTGCTGCGTTCCGTTTCTCTGGGCGCTCAGTTTAGAATTTATGGTGAATTCCCGCCAAATAAACGCGCCCGATTCGGTTGGAAACGGTTCACATAGGTGGATATTTTTGATTCTTGGCGCGTGCCACGGCGCTAAAGTCGCCAACTGGCGCCGGCTTCTGGGGGCGCTGGGAGTCCTGGCAGGCGCAGCCGTGACCAGTTTAGTCCTGCTGGGACCGAATCCAGGTGGAAACGGGTGTCAAGTGTCCCGGCAATCCACCGGATACCACTAGGAACAGCCGGAACTATGTATTATTATTATTATTATTATTATTATTATTATTATTATTATTATTATTATTATTATTATTATTATTATTATTATTATTATTAACAACAACAGTAGAAAGGCTTTTCGACGTCCCTTTCACATGTTTTGACACGCGCGACTAGATCCTTGCCTCAAAACACATTTAAATCACACATCAAATAATTTCTGAGGACTGTCTCGGTGTTAAATGATTTATTTATTTTCCCATGTTGTTTCCGGTCTGTTTGACCCCAAACCAGCTAACCAAACAGTCACGTGCACCTGCAGAATCTCAAATTAACGAAACAAAATGATTCAGAAATTTTAACACTCAACATTCCAGCTACTCTGCCTATATATTTATTCTCGTTACTTCCTCGACTCCAGTAATAACGTGGGAAGTTATTTTAGCCTAATATTTTCCTATAATGTCTAAATGCTTCATATAAAGAATAAACAAAACCTTATTTTAGACTTTTAGGAAAAGCAAACTCAGAATAATTTGTAATCGTGACGTTCGATTTTTGCTTTGATTATCTGATAGTTGATTGGCTGACGGCGACAGATAAAAAGCTTTGAGAGGGGACTGGTGCTGTGTGAGTGTGTGTGTGTGTGTGTGTGTGTGTGTGTGTGTGTGTGTGTGTGTGTGTGTGTGTGTGTGTGTGTGTGTGTGTGTGCGCGTGTGTGTGTGTGTGCGTGTGTGTGTGTGTGTGTGTGTGCGTGCGTGCGTGTGTGTGAAGGGGGTGGTGGGGGTATAATTAAAGGGAGCCGGTCTGTAGATGAGAGAGTGATAACCGGTAATATATTGGTAACGACCCTCCTATTAAGTATTAATTGGAGGTTTTCCCGCCTTCATTCGGAGTAAATGGCGGGTTAAAGGGTCATTAGGGGGGTTGGAGGAGACTCCTGAGTCCTGAAACCGTAATTGGCCGCAGTCCTCGTGAACGCAGAGCCTCAAGCGTTTGCCTCACCGGCTCATCAAGCGCGCTAAAGAAAATGCCCAAAGAGAGCAGAAAGCGCCGCTGCTCCTAACTCTAAAAACAGGTTGTCCTCTGATCAGGAACGTTTATTCGTTATTCATTATTTCTCGTTGGTCGTTATTTATTATTTAGTCTCATAATTAAAACGTTCCCGCTGATATTTACTCAGAGAGCGCACACGCTTATCCATCTGGCTGCGGCTGAGCGGCCCAGGCTGACAGATCTGCTGATGTCGGTGTGTCCAGGTCTGGTTCCAGAACCGACGATCCAAAGAAAGGCGCATGAAGCAGCTGAGCGCGCTGGGCGCACGGAGGCACGCGTTCTTCCGGAGTCCACGGCGGATGAGGACGTTGGTGGACCGACTGGAACCCGGAGAGCTGATCCCGAACGGACCCTTCTCCTACTACGGAGGTACGGTCCGGTGGTCCAGGAGGAGGCGGGTTCTGATCCAATTCCATGGGAGGGGTTTATAAGCATGCAAACCATTTTCTGGTGTTTATTTTAAATTTGAAACTACAAATTTAAAAGGCGAAAAATATCTGAATTGTTTAAAGAAATCCAGAGTAAAACTAAATGTGTTTTTTATTTTACAAAAAGTAAAATCAAGTTGTAAAATGCACCTTTAGAATAATTAAAATATTGGATTTTATTGTTTATCAGCCATTTATTCCAATAAATGATATTTTAATTATGTCCTGCTGCTCAGAACCGATGATGTCTTGTCATCCTGTGATTGTTTTATTTTGGGATACTTTGTGATTTTAAACTGATCTGATTTTATTCAACAGAAATTAATCTGGCTAAAATCTGGCTCTAATCTGAACTGGGCATGCTGCTTAAACAAGCAAAAATGACTCTCTAAATAAACTAAATTTGAATGATTTTTAAATGTGTATTTATTTATCACTAATTCAGAAGAATCAGATTGTATCCAAGTGATCTGCAGGTTTTAAGTAATGACCAAAAGGAATGTCTACATAGATAATCTGATTAAATAACTCAGATTTTATTTTTCTGTAGCTGAATCGGTGATGATGAAAATTTACTGAGTCATTAAAAGTCATCTCAGTGGGTAGAACCGTTGATGAAATGACCCAGTTTAATTTAATGTGGGCCGGTTGTTCCTCCCACCTGGCTGGGGGTTCACAGCCTCTAATAGAATCTGAGTCCTACTAAATAAAGTCCTCCGTCTCAGACTTGTTCTTTTCCTCTTGGATCTGCAGATTATCAGAGTGAGTACTACGGTCCAGGAGGGAACTACGACTTCTTCCCTCAGGGGCCTCCATCATCACAGGCCCAGACCCCGGTGGACCTCCCCTTCGTGCCCTCCTCTGGCCCCACCGGCACCCCCCTTGGCAGTATGGACCACCCTCTGCCAGGCCATCACCCCTCCAGTGAGGTGCAGCGTTTCTCTGATATCATGTCCCACCACCCAGGGGACTCTCCCAGCCCGGAGCCTGGAATCCCGGGGCCCTTGCACAGCATCTCCTCGGAGGTGTTTGGCCCCAGCCCACCCTTTACCTCACTGTCATTGAACGGCAGCGCATACAGCAACCACCTGCCGCATCAACCGTCAGAAATGAGCGAGGGCACGGTGTGGTAGCTGTGAGAAGGACTCAGCTGGACACGATTCAGACCAGGCAGCAGGATTTAGAGGCTCTGGGGTCCACGGACAGCAACAGGGTCAGGGCGGTATCATGGACGTTTGTTATTGGTGTTTTTTTATATATATATTTATTTATTTATTTTGTACTTTTTTCATTGAATTCATCCAGTTTTGTTGAAAGCTGACGCTGCTCAGAATCCTGGTCTTTAGTATCGTGTTGGGTCGTTTCCGTCGTTCTTTTGCCCTTCACCCACGCTACATCCAAAAATCACAAAAACTAAGAGAAGGAGAAATGAATGAATGAATGAATGAATGAATGTCACCCGTTCACTCTTTAGTTCCGCCCTGCTCTATCAGCGGTCCTCCCAACAGAGTGTTAAAATAGAACTCTTGTTGTCGGTTCCAGACATGAAGGTGATTTTTCTCCTGTCAAAGACTTGGATAGCTTTACAGAACCAGAACCAGAACCAGGCTGAAGGTCGGGCTGAGCGGCATCCAGACTCTCAGAGGAACTGGAGTCTCAGACCTCTTTGCCTCCTGAGGCTTTGCCATACTGACTCTTCTTCACAGTATTCTGCTGAAAGCCAGAGGAGGACACGGGTCTGTCCTCCGCGTGGATTCAAGTCCTGCCAAAGCGAGGACAGGGGTCTTCTGAAGTCCAACCAGTAAACTCTCTGGATTGCAAACCCTTTATTTAACAAGGAAATGAACTGGATTGAAGTTTATCTTCTAAAATCTTTTACTGGGTTCTAACTGGGACTTGGAACAGTCAACTGTTTACGTAATCTAATAAATTCAGGAGTCCAGAAGTCTCGAAAACCATGTTTTAGAACCTCTTGATCCACATGAAATGTTACAAGCAACCAACCAAACTTTTGTATCGATTTGATTTCTACTGTCTGGAGGTAAAAAAAAAAAAAAAAAAAAAGGAAAAAAAATATGCGTTTCCCGGGGTTCGTGGTTCACTGTGCTAGTTTGTACAAGATGTTGTTTACAGAAAAGATTTAAAGACAAAAAAATCAAGAGAAGTAGACATTTACCAAATTTTAAACTGAGCACAAACACTGTGGGCGTGCGTTGCACCGTCGTCGCAGTGTAAGTTGGGACAAATTCTAAGTGTTCACGCAACAATTGACTTTGAAGATCTTTAGTCTGCTGACACACATTCATAAAAATGTTGCTCTAACATATTTAGACAGGTTTTATTTTTGTGTCTTCAAAAATAAAAGAACTAAAGTAATAAAAACGGATGGTGGAATATGCAGCTCACAGCTGCGACATCTCTCTGAGCCCTCACTATGTCTTTATTGTTCCAATAAAACAAAACTTCTGTAACCTCCAGTGCATCTTAGACCATTCACTGTACAAACCCAACATGTTGACGAAATGTTTTCTTAATAAAACTAGAAAACAGTTGCATGACTTTTTAAAGGGATTACTTTCAGCAGCTGTTGTGGCGCGTTAGGTCGTCTCCATCAAGTCGTCGGCATGGAGACAGGAACCGAGTCAGCAGTGGAAGTGGCTGGTATGTCTTTGTCCTGTCTCGTTCCCCCGTCTCCATGTTGGACTAGCGCTTGAGTGCTTTTTTGACCCACAGGCGGAGCTGAGCGGCTCTGGAGGACGATGCCGTGACCACGGCTCTCCTCCTCCTTCAGCTTTTATTCTCTTAAACATCGTTTCTGGTCTTTTTGAGAATCTTTCAGCTACTGAAGTGTTTTTTTTTTGGGTGGGGTGGGGGTGGGGGGGTGGGGGGGTAAAAAGCAGCAAAAATAATGCTAATCAGGAAGCACAAACAGGGCGGTGTTTGCAGGAATGATGAATTTATTCCTGCTTGTGTGTGAATCAGTGGGGCGATGGGATTGTGGCGTGAATACGAGGAAATCTTTATCTCCTGAACCCCATGTGTGAAGTCAGGACGTGGTTTCTCTCCGGCCTCCAGACTGTAATCCTCCATGAATTAATAATGGTCTTGAGAGTTAACCAAGCTTGGGGTGGGTGGGGGGGTTGGAAGGTTGGGATAGAGGGTGGATGGAAGGATATAGGTCCGTGTTGAGCCCCTGGGCTTACTCCACCCCCCCACCCTTCTGTGGTAACACCAGCAGCTGACCGCCCCCGAGGCCCTGGCTCTTTAAATTTAAATCTGCTATTGATCGCTCATCAGCTGTTGGTGCAAACTGACCTTGTAGGCTCAGAGAAAATAAAAGGAGCCTAAACAGCAGTGAACGGCTTTAAATGACATTTTAAATCTCTGAGTCAGGATGATTGAAGAGCCCACGTACCCACTGGGAAGTGAAATGATTCGACTCTATGGTGAGACAAGGCGACGTTGGGACAAACGCAGAGGAAGAAAAGGGTGGAGGGTACAAAACGGTTTACTTTAGGGTACAACGGGGGCCAGAACACCGAGCCAACAGGAAGGACTGGCCCAGCAGGCAAACGCTGACACTCTTCCATTCAAACTGAGAGGATATTTTAGAGCCTCTCTTCATACCAAAAACATTTGGCTGCTAGCTTTAAATGCAGGGAGGCTCAGCTGGATGCTAACTACTCAGAGTAAATGTGGCGTTAGCTCACAAACACACGGAGGGGAGCCACGTTTTCCCTGAAAACGAACAACATGCGTTGGGTCCGGTCAATTTCTGCATGTAAATGAGGGAAGTTGTTCACGAGGGAAGCTCGGCTGATCCTGGAGCTGCCGTCATTTTAAAGAACCGAAGCATGGTGGCTCATTCCAGGAGAAAATAAAACTTATGTGTAATGAATAAATCATACCCCTTTGCTTTTAAACCAGCAGACAAGAAGCGTCTAACTGATAAAAGACTTGGTCTCACGCCTGAGCAACTTCTAAAAGGTGAGTAGTTTAACAAATGCAAGAGATTTAAACTTCAAAGTGTAAACACAAACGTTACAAATGATGCATCTTCTTCTGGTTTGTGACAGGAAGTCCAGTTCCTCTGATCGACTCCAGATCCGGCTCTGGCAGCTTCCTCATAACGCTTTATTTTGTATCATTTAGTGAATTTCAGTAAAGTGGTTAAACGCGCTGCATTTGTATTGAGCTCTATCAACTCCCAGCACTCCAAGCGACTGCATGGATGGATTTGGTGTTTGAACCGGAAACCTACTATTTACAGGACAACCTCCAACCTTCTGGGCCGCTTTCCTCCCTACAGCAGATGTTTATTCGGTTTTCATGTCATGAGTCATTCTCTGCTTTCACCCATGGATTTGTTACCCCAACGTTTAATATGGCTTCTCGTCTCCCCGTGGACCTGAATCGGACGACTACCCTCGTGCCTCTGGAGGACCTGGGTGTGACATCATCGGTCTGTATGATGTGTCCAACCGGACTGAACGGATTTTTATCAGCAGCAGATGAGCATTCAGTTCTCGAACAAGACCCGCCCCACAGTTTGAATCCTGACTGCTCCAAGTAAACCAATAAAAATCCACCTCAGATTCATTGTTCAGGTTTTTGACTGCTGACGGTCTAGAGATTCGTATTTTAGACACATTTAGTTGAAATTACTGATGCCTAAATACACCTACCAGGTACAGGTGAGTGGGCGGGGACTTTCAGCCTCACATTTCTGTTCCGAAAAGTCCACAGCAGCTTATGGACAGAGATTTCATGGCTTCGCTCTTTACCGATGAAATAACAGTGAGTTTTATCATTTATGTAAACATTATCTTGTGTGTGGTATACTTTCATGCATTGACAGCGCCACACACAGGCTGGGCAGAGTTACTGCAGCATTTTCGGTCTTTTTCAGTTTTTTTTTTTGGGGGGGGGGGGGGGTGTAATTTTGACCAGGATATTTTTAGAAATACAAAACAAAAATGTTGCTTTGAAGTATCCGTGTTTCTTTGTGGAGTAGCTCTGAATTCCAACCAGGTACAGGAGCAACGGTCACACTGCGTGGTCAGCAGTTCTAACTCTACGAGCTAGGAGGTGTACGAGCAGTTTGAAGTTTATCAGGAATGTTTATTATAAAAACCAAAGGAAAAAAATTACCCAATAAAAATAACACAGTACTTACTCTAAGGAGAAACACCTGGTATACCACATGTCAGCATGGACAGTCTTCTAAACGACTGCCTGGTTTTACTGGTTAGGGTTCCAAGCACATAGGGCAGGATTGTAATTGTATACAATTTTCTCTCATTAAAAATCTCTACTAGAACAGTTTGGGTGGAACGATCAGAAAATGCAAGAAAATATGGAGTATGGAGCAGTTTAAGTTCTGTGTGTGTCACTAGATCTGCCACAAATGGACGTTTGCTTTAATCGCCTTCAGCAACCCTTTTGGACAAAGGTTTATTTTATGTGCTCACTACAGTCTGGAATGAAACTCTACAAGATATTAGGACAACATCATCGCAAAGTCTATGTGGCGGAGCACACCTGAGGCTAATCACCAGTCAGCGGAGGCCGATTGCTAATCAGAAGGAGGTGCTTTATGAGCACAGACGTTGGAGACGGAGGGGAATACAAAGGAGAGGAGAAGAGTCTGAGACCTGGGACGAGCTCCAGGAATGCGTAGGTCGGAGCAGGAGAGCCTAATAAAGAGTTAATAAAGAGTCTGAATGGTGTGAGTGAGCCCAATTGAATATAATTTGTTTTTTGTTTTTCATTTATTGGACTAAAACACCTGTAACCACTGATGAAGGTGGCTGCATAACCTTCTTCTATTGGTGCTTATTTTAATTGTATGTACTTGTGTGATTGTTCTGTCTTGTCTTTATAGGTATGACCGTGTGTTCAGAGTTATATGTTCTGCAGAACAGAAACCTTCTGAGAACGTTTTTTAACTGAGTCAGACCCGGGTGTTTGAATCTTTCCCATTTAACAAATTAACAAATGAAAAATGAAATTCACACCCCGCAAATTTAGGGGGCGCTAGTGCAAAGGGATAATTCTGGCTAATTATTTTCAAACCACAGACCTGACACTCAAAAAAAAACTTGATCTTCCAATCATTTTACATCACAAACTTCAGGTCATTCCTGCCAAGCTAGATTTAAGTTTGTTTAATGCAACAAAAGCAAATCGGAATTTTGATTACTCCTCCTACATTATACTCCAAATCAAGATAAGCCTTGGAGTACTTAAGTCAAGCCAAAGAAACGTCATGGAAACAGTCATAAAAATGAAAATTTCGCAAACAACCCAACACAAAGTATTTTAGCGTTAGCTAGCACAAGAGCTAATTGGCTGTGGCGCCGCCACATTTCCTGATTACATGACAAGAACTTAAAGAGCAAGTCACCCCCAAATCAACTATTTTTTTCTGATAAACTATATAAATGCGTGTCTAATCGTGCTGCAGACACGTGCAGTCAATAGTTTTGCACTTTAGTTAAAATTTTAATTTTCTGCCTGAAACTGTCAGTGTTGTGCCGTTGTCAGGTAAAAACTCTTCACTGCATTTGAATTTAAATCTGCCACCGCTATTGGCTAAGAGGTATGCTATGATGTAAACTGGTACATTATGATGTCACAATGTCGTGTGTGTGTATTTGTTAGTGGCTCCACCCTCTCGGTCTGCTAGGCAACAGCATTTGTTGCATTGTTCAAACATGAAGTGGGAGTGAAGTGCGCTTCTTGAAAGGGGTGACTTGCTCTTTAAACACTAAAAAGGGATGAGATGTCTTCAGCTGTAGTGACAATGAGCGTTATGGGATGTTCATACCTCTATAGCAGGTGCATGGCTTTACACAAGTTTTGGTGTAAATCATAACCACATCCTTAGGCGACATATTGAAGATGATTATGAGGTTGACCTGATTTATTGACAATCTCACATTTGACATAAAAATTAGAAGAAATCGAAAGATTTTTTTTTTGAGAAATTCACAGATTATTTATAGAATAGCACCGCCTAGACATGGAGAATAATCTGTAGCATCTGCCCACCAGTCATGTTAGAAATGCATGTTTATCTCAAAAAGTGCCAGGTTTAGACACGTTTGTTTCCTGCATGTACGGTGAATCATTCTAACTCATGTAAGTTTTGAAAACCATTCATAGGCGTACGCGAAAACTTTACAGTATGCCAAACTTTGTGCTAACTAAATGGCTCAATGAAAAAGTGAAACATCGCCTGGACTGTTCCCGCCTGGATCTTCAGGATACGAGCTTGGGACTTTGTGCTCAATATGGCAATGGTTGGTCACCACTGAAAAAAATTATCTAAAAATCACTCGTGACATCTAGAGGGCTAGGGAAGTCAGGAAATTTAGTCTGATTAAAGCCTGAAAGCTCAGGTCCAAAACTGCAGTTTCATATTGAAATATGTTATCACTCATTGCTAAGATTGTTGAACAAGCTAACAATTGTA